AGAATTTTCAATTAAAATGCAGTTCATTCTCTAACAAAACCCATATAAACACAAGTTTTAAACTTTGCAAAAGACTACGCAAAAATTCAAAAATTTTTCACCTAAATTTAAAAATTCAATTTTAGTCAAACAATGTGCAAGTTTCAAGTTGGTTAAAAATTACCGTTGATTTTTTAGATTTTTTTTGTCGCATTTGCTTTCATATAACGAATAAACACAATTTATTTTTATATGAAAGAAACCCGCCACAACCGCGAAAAAAATTCTAAAAAATCAACGGTGATCTTTAGGCAATTGAAACTTGCACATTGTTAGACTAAAATTGAATGGGCTACAAAACTGCGTACTCAAAAAATTTCTAACACATCTGAGAAAAAAGCTTGAAATTTAGGTGATTTTTTTGCATTTTTCGTAGTCTTTTACAAAGTTTAAAACTTGGGTTTATATGGATTTGTTAGAGAATGAATTGTATTTTAATTGAAAATTCCTAAAAATAAATAAATAAACATGAGTGGGAAACAGTAACACTTTGAAATGGGGGTGTTGCTATTGTATTGGCCAATACTGTATATGTGTACATAAGTACATAAAATCAACAAAAATGTGCTAAAACTGAGTTGAAACTGAAATTGAAATGAAATGAAAGCACCTGACAAAAATGACCGCACGCAGTAGTTATTAAATTTGTGACGCAGGACAAGAGGATGCAGCAGCAGGCGAGTGCATAGACACAGCAGATGATCCAAAGTGAGCCAAAATGAACGAAAATGTAGGTAAGTAGTTGAGCAGTCAATTGGCATGCAAGGCAATAAGCAACTGCCGAGCAGTTGTCGCAGCAGCATGTGGCATGCCACAGTAGAAGAAGCAGCAGCAGCAGTCAGATACATGTATGCTCGTAATGTTGCGGCACACACCTTTCGATTGACACCAGTCAACCAGCTATGCAGCCAGCCAGCCATCCAGCCAGCCATGCATGCAACGTGCTCAGGTTGCCGAGGAGCAGCTACATACATAGTCAAGTGGTTGTGGTGGTGGTGAGTCAGTCTGTTAGGCAGTCAACCTGCTGAGTGGCACCGGAATTTACGGGTAAAATGAGCATAAAACAGAAAATCAAAAAAAATAAAAACCCCAACAGGTAAAAAACAGAGCTAAATGGGTGCAACAGCAACAATAATAAAAACAATAACAAAGCAAAGGCAACAAGAATGGCATGAAAGCTGTTCATCAGCAGCACGCAAATGTAGCAGCAACAACATATACATACATATGCAGCAGCCAAGTAGCACACAAGTTCACATACATCAGGGGCCCAGTCAAAAAGTCAACAGACCAAGAGCCAACAGCCAGCAGTCAGCAGCCCACCAGCCAACGTAGAGCGAGCGAGCCACTCAAACAGCCGGCCGGCCACCAGCAGGAGTAAGAGCAGCAGTCATCTTGAATGAAGGTGGCTGGCTGGCTGGCTGGCAGCATTCAGAAGGAGCTAAAAGAACAAAATAAAAATACGCGCCAACATTGGCAAATTAGTTGTAGTGGCAACAGTGTAGAGGGTATTGCGGTTACAACACGAACTCTGCTAAACAGTGCACCTCACATCGACTGTAGAATCTTTCAGACTTTTGCTCGCTGCACTGCTCATTTACTGACTACTTGCCATCACCGCCTGCCTGCCTGCCTGACTGCCTAAACAAAATCGTCTTCTGCTGTCTGCCGGCTGCTGATTGCGCTGGTATGCGGTGGCATGTGTCACTGGGAAAAAACAACCTGCCGGTTAGCCTGCAGGTTGCAGTTGCCGCGGCTGCGGTTGATGGTCGATTCGCGTTTAATACGGGCGCCGTTGGCGCTGCAGCTAAGCAAGCCAGTCAGCATTTTGACGACAACAAACGCATCTGTTGCGGGGCGATAATGACGGCGGTGGTCGTGCGGTCCTTCTGAATTCCAGCATTTTGTGGTGGTTATCGTCACAATTGGCAGCGGTTGGTCGCTGGTTGTTGTTGCTGTGTGCTGCAGCGGTTGAAAAGGCGTGTGATGTGTGTCCTTGGCGCGTTACAACTAGCACACCTTCGCGATTTAGTAGGTGCGAGGGATTGCAGGGTTGCCAAGGGGTAAAGAAAAAATACGTTTCTCGGTTTAATAAAATTTCGGGAACTGATAATTTTAGCTTTGAAAATAGCTTAAGTCTTTACTACTGACTAATTATACGGACTTCAGTAATATGTGTACATTTTTCGGCTACTCCGAATAACTCTGAAAACAGTTTTTTTTTAATTGACCGCTGAAACGCATTAAACTGTATAGGAACGCTGCAGGTATGTAGCTGAAATCGGTTTTCTGATAGTTATTCAGTTTTTATTGGGGCTTCGTTGATAAGACGTAAAACGCTAAGCTTAGTAAATACCGGTAAATCAAGATATTAAATGCGCAAGTAATCCAGTAGTTTTTCTGCAACTCCGAATTACTCCGAAAAAACTCCGAAACATTTATTTTGCTAGATACACAGAATTTACAAATAGCTCTGCAAACATTGTTATCAAATGTTTCACATTTGCACTAAAAAGGCAAATTATGTTTCAGAAAAGCTTACCAAACACGTGTATGCTACAACTCCGAATTACTCCGAAAAACTTCTACACTTTATTTTGAGGCACAGTTTTAACCAAACACTGAACTGAAAGTTCAGTATGTCAAAATACTACAATGTAGGTATAGGTAACCGTAATAAAGAAAACTGCGATCCATTATCTCATTAAGAAAGCTTCATGGTTTGGCATAGCTTGCCAAATTTCGTTAGAAAACAAATCGGTTTAAATTAAACCAACTGTCGTGCGCCACCGAATTTTTTAACAAATGCACCTACAAACCCTACCCGATACAGTGCAAAAGTATTCCCATGACGTTCATTGTGACATACCTCTATGTTTTGCATTTTGCTGGCATTACCTTAATCTTGGGCTGAAGCCACCGAACGACCACACCATAGCCGGTCCCTCGTGCTTTCAGCCCTGACATACAGTGTTTTAATTGGGTGGGGGAAGGGCTACCGCGCCTCGAATGTGGTTTGCCCCAGACTTAACCGAGCAAACATTACTTTGGGTTTCAAACTCGGTGATGCTAAATATCATTGATTAAGCTACAGTACAAGGTTCCCTTATGCAGAGAAGGAATGTGTAAAGACTACGGTAAATATGTAACCGAATATTTCATTGCATAATTGAATAATAATGGCAACCCTACAAATAAAATGTTACACAAGTTACATTGCAAGTGTGTACATTAGTCATTGAATGTAAGTTGTAAGTGCGCATGCAACTTGTCATTTGGAGCGATAAGGTGTCGATGATAATACGAGTACTGTTGAGGTCTCTCGTTACCTCTGCAAAAACGTAGCGAATTTATTTTGTGGCGTAGTTGAGGTTGATTAACGAAATGTCTGTATGTGCCAGTGTTGCCAGGTTATTGCAGTAGTTTACCCCCAAGGGCATGCCATTTTGCTCTAGATTTTCCTTTCGTACCCCTAAATTTATTTATTTGGAATGTATTGTAATTTTATTTTTTCAATATCAATTATAGATAGTGAGTACACATTTCTGAGGGATTAGATTTTTCATTTAAACTAACTCTAGGTATTATTTGTCTAACTAGCCCTAGTTGTTATTTGTCTTTTGGCACCAAAACCTAATGACATATTTACATATACATACTTACATACATAGGTTTGCGTTGGCGTTGGTAGCTGGATTTGTAGATATAGTCTTAAAAATATATAACGGATTACCACAAAAAATGCTTTTTGAATTTCCTCTAGACGCATTTTCTGTCCTCTAAAGCTTTCTCCTAAATATTTGGTCCCCCTACATTTATCCTTGTCCAAAGTCTCTAAATCTAGGGGGAGAACCTTTGATCTGGCAACACTGATATGTGCATATATATACATATCTATGAGGTTTGTTATTGCTGTTCACTGCTGCCACAAATTCTACATCTTAGCAATTACAATTTGCATTTACATGAAGTAAATTAATTGTTGCAAGGGAAGGAAAATAAGGAAGTACAACGGGAAGAAAGGAAGCTTGAAGGAGGTTATCTCTTTTGATTTTGTTACACTTATGTTTATGTGGGTTGTAGAAATGAATAAACAATTATAGGAGCAACAGAAATATGCAATTATAGAGCTACTAAATGTGTGTGTGTACTAGTGGAGACTGTGGTATGTAGTGGAAATTAGTAAGCTTACAATCAGCCCAGTCTGTCCAGTCGGAAAACGAGGAGCGCTTCTCAAAAAAAAAGTTTTGAAGCAGCGGTTTTACAGTAAGGCCTTCTCTCTCGGAGCGGTATTAGAAGATCTTAGAATATTTTCACTTTTAAAGGTAGAAGAGAATGTGTTGCAAACCAGCAATCGAAGTCAAACAAATATCTTCGAAAAGCCCCAGCAAACATTTGGAGTCATAAATGAGTCGTCTTAAGGAGTACTATTGGGAGCCTTTACGCTCATAATGAGCTCATTTAAGAGTCCGAAATGAAGTTGTTCTCCTTCCTCCGAAGGTCGACTTATATGAGCTTAAATTCATACAGCAAATGAGCCTCAATATGAGTCATAAATATTGGACTCTTATTAGTCTTATATATGGCTCATTTTGGACTCTTTTAAGAAATTTTTTGGCCTCATATGTATATAAAGCATTCCAGACTCTTTTTGAGGCTTTTAAATAACTTTTATTGGCCTCGTAAATTGCTACTTTTGAACTCTTATTTTAGTTTGTTTGAGCCTTATTGCCCGTTCTCTTTGACTCTTAGTTTTGAAAGTTATATTTCTTACCCACCCAAGACTCCTTTCGGAGCCTGGCCAGGGCGGAGAGTGCCGCCTTTCATATGTCACAGAAAGGCTTTGAGTGGATGAAAAGGGTTGATGCTCTTTTCTTTGCCAGGTTAGGTTAATCTGGCCGGCGTTGAGCCGCACATAGACCGGTAGGTCATTACCGTTGTCAGTTCGAGCTCGTCGTTACGCGCTAAAGTAGACATCACAAATTATATCGACGATCTGTGCATATTTCAGTAGAGCTCTCAGTTCTACTATTGAGATGTCCTCTAACTTCTTGAATTGGCAGGCTCCCAATCATTTAAGTCGTGTTTTTATCAATGCAGAACATCGGCAGAGAAGATGATCCCAGGTCTACCTGGCCTCCCACTAAAGATCCTTCCTGAAACCATTTTTTGTAACTGCCTTAATTGCCGCCTGACTGTCTACGTAAAGGTTTACTTTTGAGGTGATTGTCGTTTCGGTGTAGGCTAGCTCTGCTGCCATCCTTATTGTAAAACCTTTGCTTGAAATATGCTCCAATGGTCAACTAACCTTACTGCTCTCCCGACGTTCAGTTCCCGGAAGTATATCCCAGAACCTTCTCCACTGGCTCGAGGTATGAGGAATTTTTTGCGGAATTTCACCATACCAAAGCGCCATAGAGTAGTATTGGTCTGGCTATTGCATGAGGGCAGCTGAGAGAGCTGAAGTGACTCCCAACATTCCTTTGCAGGCTGATATAGAGTGTTGCTGGCCTTCTTCACTATCTCCTTAACATTGCGCTTCCACAGCAGCTCTTCTATCAAAGACAACTCCCAAATACTTTGTGTGGGCTTCAATTGTCAGCTCGATGCTACCTAGCTTGGGGGGTCTCCACACTGGAACCTTATATCTTAATGTGAAGAGTATAAGGTCTGGTTTGTCTGCGTTAAACCTTAGCCCTGCTCGGGATGCCCATAGAACCCATACTCGATTGGTCAGACGAAGTGTTCAGGTTATTAAGGCACTCCTTACAAGTTTAGATTGACTGTCAGTCGAGATCGCGATATTGTGATTTCTGTAGTATTATAGGCTGTAAAATGAACATCTTTTTTCCAATAGATTCCCAGTTCTCGACCTCGGCCCAACTACACCTTACCCGGTACGCTCTTCAGTTCATGGGCCATCAGTGTACCAGGTAATCATGTTTTGGTTTATCCGAGATATCTCTATTAGGCCTGCCTAGCTTTTGAACCGAATGTCGATCTGATGATACCAGTTATCCTTAGGAATGCCCTTTCCGCCTGAACCTCTGTCCGAATATGAAGAAGCGTAGAGTTTAGTAGATCCTCCAACGATGCGATTGGACAAGTTATCATAGCTCCAGTTATGCATACACATGCCAGCCTTTGCATTTTGGTGGGTGCTTTGATTGTCACATGTTGTGCATTTCTATCGACCCAGATGCAGGCGCCATAAGCTATTATGGGTCGTGCTATCGCCGCATAGGTCAACCTTAGTATTTTTGGGAAGCATTCCCAATTGATGGAGACATCGCGCTGGCATCTTCAACGCGTTCCAGGCCACAAATGGGGCTGATGGGGTTTTGTACGAGATGTCAGGACATGGAAGAAGCGTTTAGTGAGGGCCTCGAAATATGGGTACATAGATTCCGATGATCGCGGGCCCACCAAGATCAAATAAGAAACTGACGAAATTCACGAAAAAATTAAGTATACAACTGTGTACCTCTCTTTTTTAGCATTTTTCTCAAATTATTATTATTTTTTATTGAATTAAAGCAAATACATTTAATCCGGCTTATGTCAGAAATCAGTGCTTAAATTTTCAAAGGTACAATGCGCAAGCACTTAGCGCGGCTACACACTGTGTGTGTGTGAAGTCTTCCGGCGAAGAGACGAGCACCGATCGCAAGGCATGCCTATCTCATTAGCAGCCAACAGCAGTAACAACCAATGCTGATGGCGAAGCAGTCAAGGTGGCGACGGCGGCGGCGGCGTTGATCACAAAAAGGCAATAAAATTTCAACGAAATAAGCAGTCGAATAAGGGAAATTAAATCGACAAAATATAAAATGAAAAAACTAAATCGATTGAAGGCAAACGTATAAAAACACCTGCGGCAAAATTACAACAATAACGACTGGGGCAATAAGACTAAGCGAAATGAGGCGACTTGAATGTGAAATGTTTAATGGTCATTGGAAGGTGTAAAATGTTAAAAAGGAAGCCTTAACGCATGCTCACATACATATGAAAACGAGTAAGAAGAAGAACGGAAACTAGAAGCCGCTAAAACAGCGGCGGTGTCGGTCGGTTGAGTGAGGCTGAGTTGAGTTGAGCCTTAAAAGGATTTCGTAATACATTCGCAAGGCGACAATGAGGCACTTAAACAGAGTGCGGCGGATAAAACGCCGAGGTCGATAGTTTGTTAAACTTTTTTTTTTTGCTTAGCTTCACCATTTTTTTCTTTGCCTTTATCAATTGTTGTTATTTCAACATCCAATAATAATCTTTAGATTTTCAACCGCTTTCAATTGTTGAAACATTTGAACTGCCTGATTGCCTGACTACTTTGGTAACAAAACGGATTTTAGTTTTTACTTACTTACTTACTTGTTGCTTTGATGTACCTTTATTTTGATTGGAATGTCTGAACGTGTCGTCGTTTTTCTAGACAATCCAATATTTATTTTATTTTTATTTTTATTTTTTTTTGGAGCGCAAATCAAAGTCGGTGGCATAAGTTAGTAGATATGTATAGCGCACTACCAGAATTGGTGCGACAATCAGTAGCGCCCGCGTGCGTTTTAGCAACAGCAACAGCTCAAATTGGTTGGTTGGTTGGTGTTAAATGCCTACATTCGACAGGATACAAGCCAAGTCAGCCAACACCTTAGTGAGTGCTACGCAACGCAAAAAAATGTTACAATCAATACCAATGAGATGTCATTAACACCTTGGTTGTGTTTTAGGTGAAGTGTTTGAGGCCAACAAGAAATGTGATTGTGCCATATGGTTGGTTGGGGAAGTCATAAGTGGACTGCGAGGAATCGGGTGGCAATAGCTATCATGTGGCGATTATGGTGTGGAACGACAACTATTAGAGAACAGTGTTTTCATTAAGTGGATAAAATGTTAATTTTCAATCATTTAGCAGATATCTTTTTCTGAAATTCCCATCCCTTCCAATCGCTTGCAGTGCGTTCATATCCCTTCCAATGCCGTCCTATCCCTTTCAGTGCCTTCCTATCCCTTCCAATGTGTTTCATAGCCCAGTTAATAGAACAACGCTAATCAATTTCGATATTAGAGTTGCCAAAGAAATAAATTTGAAATTCGAAATGGGTGAATATCGATGGTCCACATAAATCCAGTATACATAAGACTTATTTGAGATGAAATCCTTTAACTGCTTAATTAATGAGCATTCATCAAGAATTGTCGTTATTATGGTAAATTGTAAATCACCATAATGCAATGAGCTCAGGGGTTCTGATGGTTGATATTACTGTAGTAACTTGACTTTAACCCGCCCTGCAGATCTCAATCTCGTTGTCTCCGAATGAAAGTTTTACGCATTGTGAAAGTAGCGATGTGATTTGTTGGACCAATCGTAACACACAGAAGTTCGATATAGTACTCAATGGTGCGGCGTGTCGAAGTAATTGGACATGCAAGGTATTTCTTCTCACTAAACGATGCAGATCGCGGATTCCACTTTTGTTTCAGTTGTTAATGAGCTGGTTCCTCCTGAGGTCGTCTCAAATCTGAACACTGAAAGTACAATGTCGAAGAATTTAAACTATCTTCGAAGCAATCGAACCATTTCGGTTACATGAAATGCCTCTATTTTAAGCTCATTTTTATTTAAATTTTTAGATTTTATATTTTATAAAAGATATTTCTTAATTTCACTCAACTGTGAGAAATTGAGTTTATTACTTCTTTTTTTTTCTAAATTTAACTTTTTTCTTTTTTTTTCTTTTTCGCTTTAATTTTTTTTCTTAATTTTTTTCCAATTTTTAGTTTTTATTCTTTTTAAAAGAATGTTTTTTTTTTAATTTGATTTAATTTTTAGGAACTTATTTTAGTTTGCTGTTTTTGGAATAAATTTGCTTTTCTTTTTGATGTTCAATTTTATTAAATTTTTAGATTCTATATTTTATAAGACATTTTTAAATTTCACTTAATTTTTAGAAATTTATTTTACTTATTCTTTTTTTAAATTTAATTTATTTTCTTTTGAGATTTAGATTTTATTGTTTTAGAGAGAAAAATTTATGTAATTTTTTATTTCATTTCATTTTTACGATCTTATTTTATTTTGTGTTTTTAATGTTTTTTTTTTTTTAATTTTTGGATTTTGTTTTACAATTAAAAATATTTTACTATAATTTTTAAGTACTATTTTCTTCTTTTTTGATTTAATTTTTACTTCTTCTAATTTAATACTTAGATTTGGTTATAAAAAGAAAAAAAGAAATTTTTTTAAATTTCATATAATTAAAAAAAAAAATCTACGTATTTATTTTTGTTTAATTTTCCCTTTTTCATTAGTTTAAAAAAGAAAAAATACGTAAATTTTTTTAATTGAATTAAATTTTTAAAAAACTTATTGCTGAAAGGCGAACAGCATATCGCTTAGACTCCCCGTTAGCAGGTCTTTATAATAATTTATTTTAGTCTTTATTTTTTTTATTTTAAAAGACAAAAAAATATATATATTTTTCGATTTCATTTCATTTAGAAAAAAATTCCTCGTATGTATTTTTGTTTAGTTTTCTTTTTTTATTATTTTCAAAAAGAAATATAAATATATATTTTTTTGCTTTAAATAGCCAGATTCTGTATCGGTGACAAAAATTTCTTTATTGACAAAATTTTAACTTTTTCATATATTTTTTTCCGTAAAAAAATACTGTGGCAAGAATTTGTCACTGATGCAGAATAAGCCGTTAATTTCTAAAATAATAATTGCTGAAAGGCGAACAGCATAACGCAAAGACCTCCTCGTTAAGCAATCTTTCAATTCGTCTTTCGAAAGACAGTAACAAGTGGTGAGTTCAAACAGAGTTTCCAGAATCGCCCTGTTGGAAACTATTCAGTTATCTATCAGTTTTGAAACACTGTATAATTAAAGGCTATCTCTTTGATGGGCAAGCACATAAATACACGCCGGCTAGCTTCCAACGCTGCAGCCTGTTGTCCGCTTTTTTTGTCCCTATCAGTGGCCAATACAATCAATATCCAATTATCGGCGAAGAGGTTTAGCCGCTCGCAAAACTTATGGCATATTTGCGAGCTTTTATTCCCTCTTACATTGATTGGACATACATACTTACATATGTATGTATACAGAAGGACACCTTCGTTTGATTTTCAAGAAGATTTTTGCGTGGTTTTCACCCCATCGAAATTGGCGTCAGTTGTGTTTTACACACACACATTTCACACATTTGTCATAAAATAGTAGTTCGAATGCCACTGCCACTGATGTTTATGAGCACCCTGTATGTACTACGAGTATTTCTACTCATTAACTGTGTGTGTGTGTGCATTTGAATTTCCGCTTATTGCAAATACTATTTGTTGCCACTTAGCGCCGGTTG